ATTTTTCCTTATGTTTTTTAAAATATATTTATTATTAGGGTCTATCTCCTAAACAAAATTTAGATCTTGTATTTTGACTAAGGGATTGTATTTGTTTCTTTTTCCTAATCCAATCAGGTGCTTTCATAATTATCTCGCTTTGGGTATATACACAGAAAAAAGTTACTCAAAAGTTCATTATTCATGGATTCAAGAGTATTTAGGATACAAATGGCATCAAATGAAAAATACACCCTAGTCAAGAGCATCATATAAACTTCAACTATAAACCAGGAAGTTGCACTCTTTAGCAGCAAAAAAGGTGATATTCATTAAAACCTTCATTTAAGGTTTTTAGTTTTTCTTTAATTGTAGTAATTCTCACTCTTTCCCCCAAATAGATTTACGAATCGTAAGATTATTTTATAACCTTTCTTCATCTTTTATATTATTGCTTACACTGTATGAATAACTATAGTAACTGTTTTTAATAAACTTGGCAATTTCTAAAAATATTTTTGAACAAGGACAATGTATCACTGTCATAAGGGATTTCTGTAAACAATCTAAGTTGGATTAAGAATGTAGCCTCAACAGAGAACTATTCTGTCCAAAAGAGCACAATAAAAACACCTCCAACAATACATAAACCTATATATAAATATAGACTATCTTTAATATTTTTCCTTTATATAGTAGCACATCAGCATATGCAAGAAAGTGTGGTGGATGGGGCAAGAAGAAAACTGATTTGGGCAATGAACCAATTAGCTGGCTAAGAGTCAAAGACCAGGTAAACATCAATGTTAGTCAGAAAAGTACATTAAAAAGAGTTCCTATAAAGCTGGAATTTACATACTTGCCACTGCATGTCTCCATGCTTGGTCATTTCATGCACGGCTGACTATTCTCAATCATAGTTCCTTGCCTTCTTTCAGAGAAGAAAGATAATTTGGAGAAGTGAATGGTGCTATAATGGTACTGAAAATGTCTATCCCATATCAGTATCTCACCATGAAAAATTATGATAGAAATGACAAAGCTTAAAAAAAAAGAGTCCATTGGATCTCAGAAGTATTTACCCAGTAATGTTTCAGAAAATGATACCATAAATACTTCCAAAAACAACAGGCTTTCCAAAATATTGTACAATATCCTTGAATGTAGGAGTAAACACTCAGGCCATCTGTCAAATTCTGTTCAGTAATTTGTTCGTGGTACACTCTTTCATCTCAGGAAGGTCAATAATCATCTGAGTTCTTCTTTATCTAATGCTCCTTATTAACTTTTCTTTTACAATGGAAGAAGAAAACTGGCATATGTTTTAAGTCTACTGGTTTTCCTTAAGTCTCCTAGTTTCTATTATGTTTCAACATCATATTATTGTGTACTTTCTCACTTATAAAGAATAAAATATCAGTTGCAGGGCTTCCAAAGTAAAAAGAAAAATTCTCTCCCAAACCTCTTTTGTTTAAAAAGTTAAATTAACTTTAAATGTACAAGACTAAGCACAGGCACTTAAAAAAAAAACAAAACAAACCCAAAGCCAAACCACAAAATCACTCAATAGTTATAGAAGACAGCTCTGATTTTGGGGGGTCATCTCTGGTTGCCTCAGCACAGGCACTGCTCTTTGGCTGCTCTGGCATTTCGTCGTCTTTTTCTGACAGCCCACCAAGAGACCCCAGGGGAAAAGTGCTCTCGCAATTCTGGGTGGAGGAGACCTGTGAAATGACAGGCATTTGAACAGCAGAGTTGCTTTCAAAACTGTGTTCTCCAAGATCATACTGAACAAGGGTCTCTTCTTGCTCCTGGTTTAAGTAGTCCGGTACTAGGAAATCACTAGATAAGAGGCAAAGGATGAAATACAGAGTTAATTTTCAAAACATCAACAGATAAGATAGAGTAAAAAGACACGATTTGTAAAACAAGATTAGGATTTTTCATTTCACTAATTCCTGAAAGAAGATGTTTTAATGAAGGTTGTAATTTAAAAACTTTCCACTTACAAACTTTCCTAAATATGAACCAACGCCATCCATCAGAACCAAAGCATAACTACTGTCCCTACTACAAACAGGTAAGATTAGTTATCACTTTCAGTGACACTTTGGATACCTAAACAACTTTTCCTATTCTATGTAGAGAAGTTTCTATATATATATATATATATATATAAAACAAATGTGATCAGCATGCTCACTCAAGCAAAGATCATTTGCATAATTTATGCTTCGTTTTTCTTGGTTTACTCACTGGACAAACCTAGTTTTATATTACTTTCTAGATATAAATTAGTTAAGAAGGTAAATCCTTATGTATAAATGAAATAATAAAATTTGAAAATGACTTATGTGTATCCTGCTATTAGATTTGATATATAAAAATAATAAATTACCTTTGAGTCAGAATTTAGAAATGAGCACTAAGAGGATGATGATTACATTTAGTCCTCAAATAAAGCATCAATTACTATTCCCCACAGGAAAGGTGGACAATAAAACATACCAAAAAGAGATCAGAAATTTCTAGATCACAAATGACTTATTTCTTTTTATTTTTCTATGTATTTCTAAACTTTCTACCATAAGCATTTTTTTAAAACAAATATTTCAAAGTAAGTCTTAATAAGCTTAGATGTTTACTTTAAATCCTAATTGGTAAATGAATAAAGTTAATTATACTAGGGATGTCAAAAACTGATATATAATTTGATTCTTCACTATTAATTAAAAAATTTAAATGTACCATTAAAATTAAAATCTCATATTTTCTGAAAAGTATTTAGATATTAGACAAGAGGAATGGAAGATACAGGGCAAGACTAGTGGGTTAAAATGGCCAAATGGAACATTATTTTAGTCCAAAATAAATGATGCTTAGTACAATTTTTAGGAGCTCTAGTGGTGCAGTGCCTAAGGCATTAACTGCTAACTAAAAGGTTGGTGTTCAAACCCACCAGCCACTCCCTGGAAGGAAGATGGGGCAATCTACTTCTGTAAAGATTTACCGCCTTGGAAACCCAATGGGCGTCGATGTGATTTACAAATGACTCGATGGCAGTGGATCTGTTTTATTGCTAATATGATAGGTATAATCTTCGTTTAGTGGTAGGACAAAGAGATGCTCAGAATTAGAAATGACTACGCTAAATACGGTGAATGTCCAGTTTGAAAGGAAAAGCAAAATCTTTGTAGGAGTAATTTGGAATTTATTGAAAAGTAATATTTAAAAAAATAAGCTGATTTAAAATTTAAGGATTTAGAAAGTTCATTTTATAAGTAACTAAGGATTCCTACAAGGAGCACTGGTGGCACAATGGTTAAGTGCTTGGCTGGTGACTGAAAGGTTGGAAGACTGACCTACCTAGTGGCTCCATGGGAAAAAGACCTGGTGATCTGCTCCCATAAAGATTACGTCTTGGAAAACCTTATGGGGCAGTTCTGTCACATGGGGTTGCTATGAATAGAACACCAACAACTCAACTGCATCCTAAAACAAAGATTCCTAGAGATGTACAATTTTCCTAAGTATTTTTTTAAAAAAAGAAAATGGAATTTTATATCTACAGGAGACCTCAGAAACCATCTTATTTAAAACTTTCATTTATCTTTTCTCTTAAGTTTCAAGCTGCTGCATATGTAAGGTAACATGCTCAATAGTAACAGAAGTTAGTGGCAGAGGTCAAACTAGCATCCAGGTCTCTATAAATCAGGAATAGAGTTCTATTATAAAATATTAACATTAAAAGCATAGAACTCTATGAGAGAAAAAAGGAAAGACTTTATTTGATCCATAACAATCATATCCATTATTGTTGCTGTCAAAATTTCCCTCTTACATTCTTACTGATACATACCTTTTTCTTTATATAGAATTTAAGAAAAATGAGAACTGGTCAAGAATTTTATTAACATCTGAAGAGTTACAGTCACGTTATTATGACTATATGATAACATTATTAACATCATCTGACACAATAACTTTTCCAATAAAGTCTATTTAAGATCCACTACAGAATTACTTCAATCTCATATTAAAAAAAAAAAAAAAAAAATCAAGTGGTTAGGTGGTCTAGTTTTGTACAAAGAGGTCCCTCCCCCAAATTTATTGTGATTTGGGTTTAACTATACAAAGCAGAATTGTTTTACTCTTGGGGCACATTTACTTTCACTGCCCCAATTACAATCCCCAACCATAAAAAGCTCTCCTCCCCTTGCCCTTCTTATCTATGCATTCCTGTCTGTCCAGCTTTCCCTCTATGTGAGTGCCGTTCCTCTCATGTCTCATGGCTGATTGATTTAAGGGGTGCATCTCCCTAGACTAGGTGGGTGCATTGCCCTGGGGTAGGTTCTGCATGTAGGTGTTTTTACTGTTGGGCTGAGAGCCAAGCCATGGAAGTGAGTGCATTTCCGGCCTGAAGGATAACCCAGGGCCATAGGCTCGGGGGTTCCAGCAGTCTCTATCCAACTAGTAATTCTGATCATTTTTGTGTTTTTGAATTTTGTTTCACTTTTTTCCTTCCACTCTATCCAGGATCTCCAGTTTTGATCCCTTTCTGAGTGGTTGGCATTGGTAGCCAGGCACCATCTAGTTCTTCTGGTGTTAGGGTCATGAAGACTGAGGTACTTGTGGTCCATCATATCTTTGGAACTGTTTCCAAATGATTTTGATTTTCTTCACTCTTCTTTCCTCCAGATGAGAGGAGAACAAAAGTTGCATCTTAGATGGCCGCTCGAAAGCTTTTAAGACCACCGTTGTTACTCACCAAAGTAGGATGTAGAACAAGATTTTTATGTTGTGCCAATTGAGGATGATGTCCCCGAGACAGTGGTCCTGAGCCTGCAGGCCCAGTGATTCTCTCCCTCAAGGTGTTTGGTTGTCTCTGAGAAGCTATTCCAACCTTGTCCTCTGTTACTTCTGTAATGTATGTGGATAATTTTGTAGCACAAATACATACATAAGGCATTCTTCAGCCAAATCTATTCTTGGTCTTGGGTATATTCCTGTTTGCCTAACCCACCTGCTTTTCTCATCTGGCTATGCATTTACCTACCCCCAGCCTAGTGTTTGCTACTACTGGTAATGCAGTATTGTGCATGTAACAGCATTTGCCTCTGTTGTCTATAATTTTTGTGCACATTTCTGTGTCCTCCCTTTCCCCATAGTTACCATGCTGGTCACAGACTCAGGAAAGAGTTTTAATATCAAATATAATAATATTTATAATTTTAAGTACTCAGAAGATTAAGCAAAATTTTATCAGTTTAGGAGATTACAGAATGGATAGTGGGAATTTAAAACGAATGTGATTAATAAGCTGGCAACCTGACAGAAAACACAGCAGGCTGCCCTACCCAAAAGCAGGAAAAGAGAGTTTAGAAAGCAGTTTTCCTGGTTAGGTTTTTGTTGTGCACCTCACCTGCTCTGGAAGTAGTTTGCTAGCTCTGACGCTTCATGGTTCAGACTCCTCAGGTGCACGATTAAATTTCCAGAGTTGGTGAACATGGCGCCACAAGTTTTGCACTCGTAAATCCGAGGCTTGCGGATAATGTGCCGAGAAACCCTCATGTGGTGTTTATATTCCCCGAAGGAAGTGAAAGTGGCACTACATATCTGGCACCGGAAACAGCGTTTACCTTCGTGCTTTAGGCGATGCATCTTTAGCGAGTAAGCCCTGGTGAACTTTTTCCCACAGCGGTCACACTGAAATGGTTTAATTCCTAAAAAAAAAAAAAAACAAACAAAAATATTACATAAAAAGAGAGTATAAGGTCATAAACCTAACAAATTTCTAAATTTCAGAATATACTTTCTAAAATTTTTCTAATGAATTTTGTAGCAATAAATAATTTGAAAAGACAAAAATTACTACCAAAAAGGAATTTCAATTCAGTGGTTCAGAAAAGGTGCCAGAACATATGAAAAGTCACCAGCACTTTTTAGGGCATAGTCCCTAAGGCATTTTACTGCTAACCAGAGGGGTGGCGGATCAAACTCACCAGCCACTCCTCAAAAGCAAGACTGGGCAATCTACTTACGTAGAGATAATGCCTTGGAAACCCAAGGAGGGGTCGCTATGAGTTGGAACTGACTTGATGGCACTGAGTATTACATATAAGTATCACTTTTTAAGAAGAAAGAAAAAAAGGGATGGGGGAGGCTGATGTATATTCAAGCTGATTTTTGACAATTTTCTAAATCTATTTTAAATTTTAAAACACATTTTAACCATAGCATTTAAACAGAAACAAAACCTCCATGTAACTACATCTATTATTTTATTTCATTAAAATATGAGGTTTATACTGAAAAGAGGTAAAATGAATAGTATCTACTCTCCATTCTCATCTCAAAAAAAATAAAAAAAATTGTAATTTTAACATCTCTAAACATAATGATCGTGATAGATTCATCACCTGATGAACTGGCTTTTTGAGTACTTAATGTCATACTGATGGTGGTGCACTGGTTAAAGCATTTGGCTGCTAACCAAAAGGTCAGTTGTTTGAACCCACCAGCCGCTCCACTGGAGAAAGATGAGGTAGTCTGCTTTCATAAAGATTTATAGCCTTGTAAACCCTACTCTATGTTCTACTATGTCCCATGGGGTCACCGTGTGTCAGAATCAACTCAATGGCAGTGGGTTTGGGTTTGGTTTTTGATAGGGAAAAATATGTAGAAATTAGTAAGTGAATTATAAAGTGGTATTAATGGCCTCCTCCAATTCATTATCACAATTTTAGTAAAAACAAAACATAAATACCCTTCAAAACAAAATTTTTCAACTTAACTTTAACAAAATGATAGGGAATTAGTATTAGGAAAAGGATTAATAGACCTATCTATAGAAAGGACGCATACAGCTTACATTTTACCTGTAAGAATTTTGTTGCCTTTTAACATAATCATTGAACTTAAGTTTCAGGTCTGTTTTATAGATCATGTATCTAAAAATCTCTTATACTAAAAAAAACTACAATCAGGGCACAGAGAAATTTAGTATTGAAGAATTAACCCATTATTAAAATCTTAAAAACTTTTAATTTGAAATATTCAAAATTACAGAAATGCTGCAAGAAAAAATAGTACAAAGAACACCCATGTATGTATACCCTTCTAATTCATATGCTTTACCTGCCATGCTCATGCTTTTTCTCATAAATATCCACACACCTAGTATTTATTTATATATTTCACAAACACATACACACATACCTCTTATTAGGTCTTAATCAGAAACTTACATGGCAAATGTATTAAGCAAATAGCTTTCCGACACTGGACCATATTTCAGTAACAGACTTACCTATTCTGTTCTCATTTGACTTCTCAGCGATTTTTTTTAAAAATCAAAAGCACCCATTTTCTATTTTAACTGGATTCTAAAATGAAATGTATCAAAGAGCTCATTTATGCAACAATAGGAAAGATGACATTACCTGAGTGGATGAGCATGTGTTGTTTCAGGTTCTGAATGCGGGTGAATCGTACCCCACAAGTTGGACACTGAAAAGGTCTGTCGGGACCATTTGGACTTGGTCGCTCTGTACTGCTAGTAGAAGGAGCAATGTAGAGTTGGTAGGGATACTGAACATTTTCCAATCTAAAAAAAACAAAAAACAAAAAACAAAACCAAAGAAGGCAACTAGGCTCTGTTTTAAAACTGAATATATATTTCTATTGGTCAACATTAGATGAAGAAAAACAAAACTTAAAGATGTTTTGAAATACTTTGTGGTTAACTGTTAGGTTAAGTTTCACTTAAAATATGAAAAGCAATGTTATTGTCCAGAATTTCCAACATCTTAGGTTAAACATAGACATAAGACCACGGAACATTCCAAACAATTTTACCTTAGCTTTAATTACCAGGGGTGGGAGGGGAGGAGAGGGAAAGCTGTTAGGTAGGTAGAGGTAAGTATTGATTTTGGGGAAGAGAAGGGCAATGTACCAAATATGAGTGATCAACATGGTGGCACTGAAGAAGAGCAAGATATAGAGAGGTATATGGGAGGTACAGACAATAAAGATGAACCCTTTTGCACATACAGTACTGTGTTGTCAGTGAAGGCAAACATGGGTATACAGGTGGATAGATGGGTCGACAGGCCGAACTATTAGGTATGTCTATGAACCAGGGAGCGTATCCAAGACCACATATAGGGTTGGCAGACAATGGCCCTATAAGCGTATTTGTATGATCTGAATTCCCAGATGTATAGTAGAGCTGACAAGGTTTGTAGTCACTTCTTGGTCACACCCAGCTACCCAGAGGGACTGAGTAGTTGAACCTGTGGGCTTGGGACCATAGTCACAAGGGACATTAAGCTCAATTGGCATGACATACTACACAAAACACTGTTCTACCTCCTACTTTGGCGAATAGTAATTGGGATCTTAAAAGTTTGCAAGCAGCCATCTAGATACAACGATGGGTCTCTCCTAGTCCAGAGCAAAGAAGAATGAAGAAAATCAAAGATCCATGGAAAGAATTAGTCCTAGCAACCGGTACACCATGCGATCCACAGCCTATATGACTATGAGACCAGAAGAACTAGATGGTGCCTGGCTACCACTGTCAACCACTTGGAGGGGAATTTATGTAGGAGATTCTGGATAGAGAGGGAGAATAATGTGGAACAAAATTCAAAATCATTTGGGAAAAAAAAAGGGGGGGGGACCAGGTGTGCTGGTCTGACAGAGCCTGGTGGAACCACTGAGACTATGGCCCTAGCTGCCCTTCAGGTCTGGAACTGAACTCACACCTGTGGCTTCCAGCCAAACAAAAGACAGGCATATGAGTTGAACATTTACCTGAGGTAGATACACTCCCTGGAGAGAACAATCATGGGAGAAAGAAGGGCTGTTTATGCACAGGGAGACAGCTGAGAAGGCAGGAGTGCATACAGGGATGGACACAGGGAAGAGGTAACTATTGGGAGGAAGTGGGAGGGAGCTGTTGCATTGTGGGAAATTGTAGTCAATGTCATAGGACAAAGTGTATGTGAACTGCTTTATGGAAAGTGAATTTGATCAGTAAATTTTCACCCAAATCACAACAACAAAAAAAGAAAATCCAGGCACATATCTGTTATACCAGTGTCAGCTATTTAAGAACACTGAAGTTTGTTTGAGGAGCTCTGGTGGAGTAGTGACTAAGGCATATGACTGCTAACCAGAAGGCTGGGCAATTTACCTCTTTAGAGATACTGCCTAAGAAATCCAAGGGGGTCACTATGAGTTAGATTCAACTTGACAGCAGTGAGGTTTTGAGTACTTTGAATCCTTCAAAATTTTCAACAAATAACAGTTTCTAGGTATATTCTGGATTCTACACGAGTTGTTCAATCATTCACTAGAATTTATATTTATTGGTGGGAGAGATAATAAGTAATACAGCTAATCATTGGAACAGAGAATTAAAATAGAGTGATGCAATAGTTATTGGGTGTTGCTATAGATGGAAGGTCAGGAAAGGCTTCTGTTCTCTGAGAAAGTGACACTTAAAACAGTGATCTTAAAGTTAAGAAGGAGCCAACAACTTGAAAATCAGGGAGGAAAGCATTTCAAATAAAGGCCGTAATGGGAGCTCTGGTGGTGCAGTTAAAGCATTGGGTTATTAACCAAATGGTCGGTGGTTTAAACCCACTAAACATTCTGTGGGAGAAAGATAAGGCAGTCTGCTTCCATAAAAGATTTATAGCCTTGGAAATCCTAAGGGGCAGTTCTACACTGTTCTATGGGGCCGCTATGAGTCAGAATTGACTTAAATCAATGGTAGTGTCTTTGGTTTTGGTTTGGAAAGGCCTTAAAAGCAGCAGAAATGCCCTAAGGAAGAACAAACTGGAATATTCTACAAATGGATGAAGGTCAATGTAGCTACAACATGCAAGAGAAAAATGGTCTAAGAGTGTCAAGCTGAAGTCATATTACATATGGCTTTTAAAAAGAGTTTAAGTATGAAGGGAGTTTACTGAAGAATATTAAGCATCTATTGCTTAAAACAGTGACATACTCTGACTTTATTTGAAACAGCTTCAACATTTTGGCTGCTGTATGGAGAATGGATTGGAGTACGGGAAGAAAGAAATCAGAGGTTAGTTTGAAGTATCTTGCAATAGTAAAGACAAAAAATGGTGGTGACCTGGACTAGGGTAGTTGTAACAGAGATGGAGGAAAAGTGAATAGATTAGGGGTATGTTTTGAAGTAGAGTGGACAGTACTTTCTGAAGGATTAAATATGGGAAAGGGGGAATAGGGAGTGTTGAGGGAATGAAGTATCAAGAATTCCCAGAGATTTTGCTTGAGAAATTGAGTGGATAATGATACTGTTTACTGAAATGGGAAAGACTAGAGAAGCAGGATTTAGAGTGCAAGTTAGAAGTCAAGAGTTCTGTTTTGGCTATGTTAGTTCTGAAATGGCCCTTGTATATCTTTATAGAAATATCAAGCAGGGAGGTCAGTGCTAAAGATGACTTGTATTCCCAAGTATGTGGTATACAGATCAGAGGTCAACAAAGATTTTCTGTAGCAGGCCACAGAATAAATATTTTTGGTTTTGTGCACCATACTGTCTCTGCTGCAACTGCTAAACTCTGCCAATGTAGTACAAAAGCACCCACAGACAACATACAAACAAATGAGCATGGCTGTGTTCTAGTAAAACTATTTACAAATACAGGTGGTAGTCTTGAACTGGCTTGTGGTTCATAGTTTATTGACCCCTGATAGAGTATTATTTAAAGCAATGGGACTCGATAGTTTTGCAAAGGCCAAAACAAACAATCAAACCCACGTAGAGGTAGTCTAATTTATAATGTGATGATGCTACCTAATTACAATGAAAGGCATACCTTAATGAGGTCCCATCAAACAAACTTCTTACATAATTCCCAGACAAAATCTTTGAATTTAGATTGGTAAGCAAAATCCTTACATGAAAATTATATACTATACTAACCGATCATCATCATCTGCATGGGCATTAGTGCTAGAAGTGCTTTGAAGTGTAGGTAGCCCCTCGGTGACACCTTCATCTACTGAGCCTATAAATAAAAGAAAGAGGACATCAGTCAATACTTCGGTATAAATAAAAATGAAGATATTAATTGTAAGATGTATCTTTAAGCCTCTAACACATACTATGTAATAATGTTGTTGTTATGTGCCGTTGAGTCGGACCCGACTCATAGTGACCCCTCCTTGAGTTTACAAGGCAGTATTATTATGGAAGTAGATTGCCCAACCTTCCTTCTGAGGAGTGGCTGGTGGATTTGTATCACCAGCCTTCTGGTTAGCAGTCAAGTGCCACAGGCACTACACTACCAGAGCTTCTATCTAATATATATATCCTGAATTATTAATCAATAATAATGTTATATAGTATTTATTTTTTGGTTTATATGATTAAAAAACATCACAGGTAAGACAACAGTCTTATATTATTATTTAAATTATTTTATAAGTATTTCTTTGACACAAATTTCAGGAAACCACCAGAGCAACTGCAAACTACAAAAATTCACACAAATTGGATAATATTACAGTTTTTTAAGGAAGGACAGCAATTTTTATTTTAAAGCTTGTTTGTGAAATACACAACTTTTAAGTAGAGTTTTAAAGAATTATAAAGCCGTGCAACCTCCACACAAGATCACACTGTCTACATTCTAAAATTCCCCACTTACCCTTTCCTGATCACAAACCCCTACTTTCCTCTAAGAAGTAATTATTATCTTTTATAGTTACTGTTTTCTTCCTTTTAAAAATAGCTTTATCTCAAATATATGCACCAATAAACCAGGGGATGTTTTTTGTTGGAACATATCCAAGTATTGTGTAGGGCTGCTTTTGACTATAGAGAGGATCCAAGATGGCAGACTAGGCAGATAAAACATGCAGATCCTCTACAACAAAGACTTGAGAAACTAAGTGAAATAGCTACGGATGAAAATCCAGGAAACCAGAGCTACAAAGGAAAGGATGAAACAGATCAATTATTGATGAAAGGAAAAGACTGAACGAAAACAGTCAAGAAGGAGTGGTAAACTGCCAACTGGCAGAATGGCCATTTGGAATTATTGCAAGCAGCATTCTGATTAAAGCAGGGACCAAATAACTGGCTCTGTTTGTCCACACCAGAGATGATGAATAGAGAGGTGTGATCTCCTCCTTTACCTTGCACAACCTTCTGGTGACCAGAGGTATGGCCTCCCTATCTCCATCACCTGGTGGCTAGTCAAACTCCCCTCATTGCCAGTGCTGTACTGCTGCTCCCCCCACCCTTAAATCTTTCTGCTTAGTTCTTCCCTCTTTCATGCTTTTATTTTTTACTTTCTTTTTATGGATCAAAAGAACTGGCACCCCTCCCCCCACTGCCCATGAAGTTAGCAGTGCTGTCCCTACCCCTTCCTGCTCAGAGGTACGTACTCCCATGGAATGCTGTGTTTCTGAGCAGCTGTGTCTGGTGGCTGGAACTTGCACCAGCACTATACTGCTTTTTTCTTTCTTTTCTTCTTCTTCTTCGTTCTTCCCTCTTCTCCCCCCATCTTCACAGTTGGCATCACCTACCCCAACCCCTCCATGGATGGTGATGCATACTCCCCCAGAGTGACCTCTATGTTCCCTCTGCAGCTGTGTTTGTAAGAGAGGATCCAAGATGGCAGACTAGGCAGATAAACCATGCAGATCCTCTACAACAAAGACTTGAGAAACTAAGTGAAATGGCTAACACGTGTACCAGTTTTTTTTCTTTTTCCCCCTTCTTCTCTATTCTTCCCTCTTCCCTGCCCCCTACTTTTTTTAATCCAGCTAAGTGAGTGCTTCGCCACAGCCACCCCTCCTCTCTGTTCAGTAGTGGCATTCTTGACCTTCTGTATTTAGTGATGTGTGCTCCTGTGAAGTGAGTGTCACATTTCCACTGCAGATATGTTTGGCAGCTAGCACCTGTGCCACTACACTGTGGCAGCTTTTTTTCTTTCTTTCTTAGGTCTTTCTTCATTTCCTTGTTTTCCTTTTCCTCTGATCCTCTTTTTTTCTATCTTTCCCTAGAAGTTGGAAGCTACCTACTCTACCTAGCCATATCTACACCTGCCACCTCATCCACTGGACAAGTGCCACCACCTATTCAAGAACCACTGGACTGACAGCAGCCAACAGGTGTCCAGCCTGCCCTCAGCTGCTCTGTATGATTAGTGACCAGAGACTTGAAGTCATACTCCCACTCACTACTAAATCCACCCAGAGATAGGTGTGAGTGCTCCACTGCTGCCAAAGTAGAGCCCAGAGTGATGTGGCCACCCTGTTGCCTAGATAGAGTAAAACAAAGTAAAACAAAAAATCAGGGTGAAGCAAACCAACATACATTCACCAAATTAATACAGTAACACTATAATGTCTCCCCTTGGAAACACAGACAACTTCAAATCACACTAAAAACAAGACAAAACAAAAACCACAATAGGATGGCTCAAACAAGACCAAAACAGGGCCAGAAAATCTTCTGTTGGAAGAAATGCTATTAGAACTTCCTTATAAGGAATATAAAAGAATTATAGTTACGTACCTTCAATGGATCAAGACAAAATTCAAGGAAACAACAGATATAATCAAGAAACACACAAAACTCTAAAAGAATTAAAAAAAAAAAAATACAAGAACAAGTTGACAAAATAAATGGAAAATAAGAAACCTACAAAAACACAAATAGAAATCCAGAAGATTAATACCAAAATTTCAGAAATAGATAAATGCATTGGAAGGACAAAGGAGTAGTAGTATGGATTCAATGAAGAGAGAATTAGTGTGACTGAAAACAAATCTCTTACTACAACCTGTTAGATGAACAATCAGAAAAAAGAGCAACAACAAGAAAAAAATGAAGACAGTCTAAGAATTATGTGGGACATCAAGAGGACTAACTTACATGTGATCGGAATTGCAGTACAGTTAGAGACAAAAAAAAAAAAAAAAAGCACTGAGAAAAGTGTCAAAGACGTGTTGGAAGAAAACTTCCCTAATATCAAGCAAGATGAGAAAATATCCATGCAAGAAGCTAAATGAACCCCAAATAGGGCAGACTACAAAAGAAAATCACCCAAGACATATCATAATCAAACTTTCTAAAACCAAAGACAAAGAATCCTGAAAGCAGTTGAAAAACTAGAAGTCACCTATAAATAAGAATCAGTAAGACTAAGCTCTGATTTTGCCACAAAAACCATGCAAGAAAAAAGGCAATGGGTTGACATACATAAAATACTAAAAGAAAAAACCTGACAACCAAGAATTATATATCCAACAAAACTGTTCTTCAAAGAAACCAAAACACCCACTGCCCTCAAGTCAATTTCACCTCATAATGACCCTGCAGGACAGAGTAGAACTGCCCCAAAGGGTTTCCAATGCTGTAATCTTATGCAACAGACTGCCTCACCTTTCTCCTGTGGAGCTGCTGGTGGGTTCAAACTTCTGACCTTTTGGTTATCTGCTGAATAACCCTCAAATACAATGGTGAAATTAGCACATTCCCAGATAGACAGAAATTAAACGAACTGGCAAAAACCAGACAACCTCACAAGAAGTGCTAAAGAGAGTCTGTTCTGGTTATCCAGTGCTACTCTGACAAGAATATACCACAAAGGGGATGGCTTTCATGAACAGGAGTTTATTCTTAACAATTTGGAGGCTTTATGTCCAAGTTCAAAATGCCACGCTCTAGGAGATGGTTGAAAGGCCCTCAACCCTGGGCTTCACTTCTGCCTCCTGCTCTTGGCCCACTGGAGTAGAGGCTTTTCTTCACTGAGACAGCTGCTGGCTGCTGAGACTGACAAGCCCAAGGTTGACAAGTAAAAAGGCACAGTCCTGATGTTAACAAGCCACATGGCAGGCCATTAATTCAAGTCCACTGAAAGTCCCAAGGTCAGCAGAGCATGGTAGGCTGCTGAACAACGACACGACTACATGCAAGGTTCAAGCGTGTCATAAGCTAAAGACCATTCCTAAAGCTGTTTCTTACATACGGGAAGCAGACCACATACCCCAAAGCAGCTTACTTAGCTGCTCTCAGATTTCACCATGGAGTTGATTACCAGTCTCATTATGGGGAATACTACATCCAGCTGCCCAGCCACTCAATGAAGTTTGTTCATTATGCTGTTGTATAATAGTCACAACTTATCCATTTTACTCCTGAACATTTGTTTCAGTTTCAGGCTATTATGAACAATGCTGCTGTATTTATTCTTGTACAAGTAACTTAATGCTCATGTGGTCACTCTTCCTTAGAAAACTTCTAAGGAACTGTTAAGTCATCAAATATGCAATTGTTCAACTTATTAGAAAAAAGCTATTTTCCAAAGTGACTGTACTACATCACAAACCTGCCAGCAGTGTATAAAAGCTGTGTTGCTTCACATCCTCACAAACACTTGGTATTGTCAGATTTAAAAATTGTTGCTAATCTTATATATTTCACTGTGATTTGTATTTAATTTCCCTTATTACTGAAGTTGAGCACTTTTTCATAATTTAACGAATGCTCTTTTGTGAAATGTCTGTTTAAATCTTTTGATCTTAAGTTTTCTGCCTTTTAAGAGTTCTTTTTTCATATCTAAGTTGCAAATATATCTTTCACCCTTCCACTGTTTGTCTTTTTATGACTTCTTTTGAGAACTGTAATTTTAAAACAATTTCTGTGATTTGGGTGAAAGATACAGAGCAAATTCACTTTCTATACAGCAGCTCACATGCACTGTCTCATGACATTGACTGCAACCTCCCACAAAGTAACAGCTCCCCTCTCACTTCCTCCCCATAGTTACCTCCTCCCTGTGTCCTTCTCTCCCATGCACTCCTGGTCCCAGGAGCTGTCTCCCTGTGCATACAACAGCCCTTCTTATCTCCCAAGATTGATCTCTCCTATGAGTGTATCTACCTAATGCAAATGTTCTGATCATATGCCTGTCTTTTGTTTGGCTGGAAGCCACAGGAGTAGGTTCAACTCCAGACCTGAAGGGCAGCTAGGCGCCACAGTCTCAGTGGTTCC